CGACCCCCGAAGAAGCGGTTGATGCATTCAAAACGCATGTTTTGGAGTTACCTCAATCGGACTGGAAAAAGTGCTTTGAAAATTGGTTCAAACGCATGCAAAAGTGTATTGATCATCATGGAGAATATTTTGAAAAACAATAAAACCAATTTCGATCCTACATATTTGTTTTTTCATTATTAGGCCAGAAATATAAATAGCAACCCTCGTACTTACCTTAAAATTAAAATCTAAATTTTAGTTTTTAAACGGAAAGTTATATTAAATCAAAATACAAGCACCCAATTTTTAAAAACACTGGTAATGCTCTGGGATTGGTCAAAAATATATAACTGCTTCCATACTAACTCTATGTAAAGAATTTTTCTTCCAGCAGCAAAGGTTTTGGAAGATTTTACACGGCAAAACTGCTGCCACAATTTGAAAGACGATGTTTGAAATTCTTGGAAATTGGGTTATTTTGACCCATACTAGATTTGAATCGACCAAAACGAGTGTAGAAAGTTAAAAGCTTCTTTCCTTTTTTAATAGCACGATAATTAAAAAAATCAATCTAATATAAACATTGCAATCCTATAGAATGATTTCAAAATTGCTGGCATTAAAACTGTAAAGAACTTATTAACTTCTTCACCTCATTTTGGTGGATCTGAATTTTTCATGGGTAAATATGGCACCAATTATAAGAAACTCAAAACATCTTCTTTGAAATTGTGCCAAGAGTTTTACCGTGTAAAATCTTCCAAAACAGTTTCTGCGCTAAATTTTTTTTTTTTTTTTTACACAGAGTTTATGCGGAAATGTTACCATCTATATATATATTTCTCTTACACGGTGACAAAAAAAAGCCTCATTACAACTCCCCGAATGGCAACGCTAGAAAATCGACCAATGATTGCCACTAAAAATGTCGCATGCCGAATCTAGCTGATTTGGCTCAACATATAGCGCTTTTAAAAACGGAAACTGAAATAACTAGAGAGAGCATTCTCACCAAACCGAAATTCACCCTATCAACTGCGGCAATCTCATACTATTAAGCTAGGCAGAAGTGAGTAGTCTTTGTCGATAGATCTCTATTTTAGTATTTTGTCGAAAGCGCTTTTTTGCACGAATTTATATATTACGAATTTATTTGACGATTTCTGATTTATATCGCGAATTCATTTGTTTTATTATTGTTATTAGTTATTCATTGAAAAATGAGTCTCAGTCGTGCTGTTACGCTTTAAGACTTCATACTATAGCACATTTCTAATAGGTTTAACGAATTACATGTCATTTATATGAATTCAAATTTATTTTAATGACTCAGTATTTACTTAAAAGATGTAATTTTTTTTAAAAAAAAAGTTGTTACATGGATTTGAATGATTGTCTTGAATTCTTAGAATTTTATGGATTTGCAATGTACCGAAGTTAGTAGCGAGTGAAGCGAGCTTGGTTTGCAAAGCAAACCATATAAGATTGCGTAGCAATTTTCGGGAGTTGGCGAGCGTTAGCGAGCAGGGGGAGCAGCCCACTAGTATTTATTACTGTCCAAATTAAAAGCTGTACATCCTATAGAATATTGCAGTCAATCCCATAGATTGATTTCAAAATTGCTGGTATTTATACTGAGACGAAGTTATTAACTTCCTCTACACATTTCGGTCGTTCTGAATACATTTTGGTCTTTTTGGTCTTCTGAATGTCATATTTTCCATGGATAAATATGATATCATTAAGTAGTTTAAAGCATCTTCTAACAAATTGTGCCATGAGTTTTACCGCATAAAATTTTCTAAAACAAGTGCTGCTAAAAAGAAAGATTGTTAACATAGAGTTGATATTGAAATGTTTCCATATTATTGTCCAACACAAAAGCTGTTTTTTCTATAGAATATAGCTGTAAATCTTATAGAAGGATTTCAAAATTGTTGATATTTAAACTGAAAAGAAGTTATTAACTTCTTCTCCTCTGTTTGGTCAATTCTGAATTTTCCTTGGATAAATAAGACATCATCTCTAAGAAGCTTAAAGCACGTTCTTTGAAATTGAGTCATGAGTTTTGCCGTATAAACTCTTCCAAAACATTTTAGGCTTAAAGAAAGGTTGCTTACATAAAGATAGCATGGAAGTGTTTCCATATTTTTGTCCAACCTCTGTAATACATAGTGATTACGAATGAATAATTAAATAGAGGAAATAAATAACACTGGATTAAGTTTAAACTACCTTTACGTTTAGGCGCACCTTCTATCCGTGGTAAATGTTGATATGTATTCAAAAAATTTATTTATTAAAAAAATTTTTACTACATAATTGTGCTATTCGTTTATTTGTATAAATAATAAATTTAAAAGAAAAATGCTGTATATATACCTTGAAAGGCACATAAATATTTAAATTGAGACAGTCTTCTCCTTGTTGATAATCCCACAATCCTAGTCTCCTTAGAACCTTTAGTCCGTTAGGTTCCATGACGATGTCCCAATGAGATCTATGCTTACTTTGAGAACACAACGGACCAAAGGAAGTTGCATTGAAAACTTCATCCCAGGGAGCTTTAGGAACAGGTGGCTGTGAAAAAAATGATAATCTTATTATTACTTCACTGAATTAAACAAAAAATAGAATATGTTTTGCACAGTTTGAATTGGCGACTTAAAGTTATATAAAATTTCGTTTTATTTCTTTCGCGCTTTTCGTCTTAGTAATTAAACATGAAGGAAGGAAGGGCAGCTAATTTCTTATATTTACCACGGTGAATATTTAAGGCTGGTGACACTACTATAAGAAAATCTGATGAATTCCTCTATCTACCAAAGTTACAGTTTACTAAAGTACTTCTAAAGAGAAATATCAGCAATTTTTTCTCTATTCTAGCTGAATAAATAAATAACATATTAATTCTTCGAATTAAATATTCTTTCTAATCGAGTTTGTCATAGCTGTTAAAGTCGCGCAGTTGTTGTTATTGATAACGACGTTAATTATAATTTAGCATACTTGTCACCGAAAATTTTTGAAAAATAAAACAGCATGTCTCGAAATTTAAATTATTTAGTAATAAAAGTACCGCTGATAATTGCGTCAACAACTATTTTGTTCATTACAAGAGTTACTACAAGCAATTTAAAGACAAAACTGAAATCTAACGAACCATAAAAAGAATAAAAGATATTTAGCCCATCGATCTCCTTTTGGGCGAGAAGAGTTATAACTCTTCCCGCCCTAAACCATCAAATCAAACATCAAACATGGTTATATTTTTCCTTTTCTAGCTGTTTTATTCGTTGGATCAAGATCAAAAAAATTAAATTATGTCAGACTCAAGTCAAGTATTACTTGACCGTGCCATTAAAAATATTGATGAAAGAGTAGTTTTGAAAATTATTACCTACTTTTTCGTTTAATTCCAGTTTTATTTTTCTTCTTGGTTTGAAAAAGTAAGAATTTTATTTTATTCCTTCTTTTTATATCAATCAAATCGAAATAAACACATAAAAGCCAGCTTCTATTTCCAAGAGAAGTTTTTCTTAATTTAAGAAATGATAGTAACTGTTACTCTTAAGTATTTCCCCTTTTAAACAATCAATTAAATTTTTCGAAGGCATACCCACCACGCTATACAAACAATTTAAATAAAAGTATAGGACCAGGTAAATCCGGAGATGCGAACTGCACCGGATTTGTCAAAATATTTTAAGTAACGGTAGAAAACAACGAGCTAAAATGTGAAAATTTTTGGTTAATTTTGTTAACTTTTTAAAAAGCTCATCGCTACTTGACTATAACAAAGTGGTGAACCACAATCGTTTCAATTATATAGAAATAGTGGAAAGTAAGAACCCTACATTAAAAGACTATCACTCGAAAATATTTATTCGTGGTCCCGTCTGGGCAAACGGTTGAGTAAACATACTAAATTTGCAAATATTTGACAAATTTTGATAGTTTTTGAAAAGGCTTAGATTGACATGTTTGAAGAATGGTAGAATGGTAGAAATCATATAAATCTCGGTGCGCTGCCGCGAAGCGGCATTAATCGATTCATCTGTAGTAATAAATCGATGATGAGGAGTAGTGAAGTGGAATGGAGATGGGGGGGGAGGAGGGGGTGCTTAGCACCAAAAATCGAGAGTGTATTTCGTGTGCTAGGGCAACATCATATCCCCAAGGAAAAAGGCAGTGATTGGGCTGAATTTAGTGTTGTCGTCAATTAATTCAATATATAGGAGTGAGTTAAAATTGCTGGTGGTACAGGTTTTTGCTTCATCGTAGAAATTTTTGTTTAAATTTTTTATATAGACGTTGATGTCATAATTTTTAAGATCCCTTTTTATACTATTATTGCTAATGCATTTAGGGGCGCCGACGAGTCTTCTTATAATCTTCCCTTCTGCCATAGAGAGTTTATTTTTTAAATGATCACTTAGAGTGTTAATGGCTGGGCAGGCATAAGTTAAAATTGGCCTAACTGCCATTAGATAGACAGTGCGCTTGCATTTTAAGTCTAAAGATGACTTCGAGTTTAATATAGAGTTGAGGGCCCAATAGGCACCATTCGCTTTTTTAATAATTTTATTTATGTGTTGTTTCCAACTTAAATTAGAGGTGATGGTGACTCCTAGATATTTTGCACCCCCTGTGGGTTTAATGATCTGCTTGTATAGGACTATATCAGGAATAGTTCTACCTTTCTTTTTACTATTGAAAATAATCATTTGGCACTTATCCGGGTGTAGATTTATCTTCCATTGTGAGCACCATTTTTCGATATTGTAGATCTTCTTTTGCATGTATTTGAAGGCTTGTAAATGACTCATAGATTTTGTGATAATTGCTGTATCGTCGGCATATAGGGCCGTGAATTCGTTTGGATTATCGTTATTTATAGGGAAGTCAGCTGTGTATAAGATGTATAGTAGTGGCCCGAGGATACTACCTTGGGTCACACCGGCTTGAAAGTTTTTATAAGCTGAGAACGAGCTGTCGATTTTAATTCTGAACTTTCTAGCAGTAAGGAAAGAGTTAATCAAAGTAATAAGGTCTAATGAAATATTCATTTTATGTAGTTTTACGATAAGTCCCTTATGCCATACTCGGTCGAAGGCCTTGGCAACGTCGAGCATAAGCATAAGGGCGGTTTCGTGTTTAAATTTAGCATTACTGATGTATTCGAGGATGTTTACAAGCTGCTTGGTAGTTGATAGGTGCTTCCTAAAGCCATATTGTTGGTTTGGGAGTAGGTGAATATAATCGTTGAGTCTTCGTTGGATAATTTTTTCAAAGATTTTTGATAACATAGGGCAGGGGTGGCGAACCTTTATACACCAACGTGCCATTTTCTCTAAAAAATTGCCTAATGAGGTCATAGACGTGCCGTCAAATAATTTTGGCTTCGTGATTATAGGGAAAATAATAATACTAAATACTATCAACTCAAAACTCTTTATTTACATTGAAAAAAAATACATTTTGTATGCACGTCTCAGTTATACATGTAATTTAACTTAAAGTAACATCAGTGTGACTTCTGTTGTTGCAGATTAGATGACCAATAACTTATATTATGTTGTAGGATGTTAGTTTAAGCAGGACTGTTTATTTTTTTTTTGCTAGTTATTTATTGTTAGCTTGTTTTTTACGGTTACTGTTCTTTTAGTATTAATTTTTAATTTTTTTACTATTAACTGTTCATTATTTTGTTTGTTTTTTGTGAATTTCAATTTAATTGTTACATATGCTTCATAGCGTAATAACATTTGTGTAATAACAATTCATAGTGTAACAACAATTGTGATCGGTGGAGTGCCCAAAATATTGTGTCGCGTGCCATTGGTTCGCGATCCCTGATTTAGAGCATGGATAGCCAACATTGTCACATTGTGGCACTCAGTGTTTTAACAGTGGAGCGCAAAAACTTATTAAGTAAAAGAATCGTCTTCTTGAGCTAAATCAAAATCCATAAAATTCCACTAAATACAGTAACACTGCATAGTTTAAAAATTTAATGTTCATTTGGCAAGATATATTTATTTAGTGTCAGGAGTGATGATTTTCAAAAAAGATGGAAAAATAAAAAATTAAAAGGCTGATTTTCAATTCTTTCACATTACCTTTTTTACTATCCCTAAGAGACTTTAAATGTTGCAAATCAGAAATCTAGATCGAAATTATTGACCTGGAGCACCATACTGCAGAGAAAAACAAATTTTAGGAACTTATTTTCAAAAACATAATAAAGAAATTAAAAAAGCAAATATAAATATACGCAAATATCGCTCAGGATTAACTTGAAGTATCTAATTTACCTAAAATACCTAATTTTGACGACTCTTTCAAGAACATATCTTAATATGGAAGACTTGGTAAAAAATAAATAAANATTATTCCGCATGGTAAGCTAAAACTTTAAATGCAAGTACGCTACATTAGAAACATGCATTCTGTTGAATTTCATGAATTTATCAATAAATCGTTTTAGAAAGCTTATTTCATGTAAAACGGGTCGTCAATCAACCCCTTAACTTGTCCGCTCGTGTTAATTCGAGTGCGCTAAACAGGCCAAACTGTACACACTCGCGATAATTCGAGAGGCTTTGTATTTTATGCTGCTATAATTTTTCACACTCGAATATAATCGAAAATTGAAAATAACGTGAAAGCTAAGAAAAAAAAAAGGTATCGTTTTATTGATATTCATTATTTACATAGGATTGTAAGCTATAATACTTATTTATTCAAGAATGAAATACACAGAGGCGCCAACTTGCTCCGGACAGCGAATAAATATTTTAAAGTGGTAGTTTATCAATTAAGATTCTTGATATAATAAATTTAATTTAGTAAATATTTATCCACCACTATTTCTAAATAATTCGTAGGCTTATATAATTCAACACTTAACAATAACATTACTTATGCTGCATACCTGCCAACTTTTAATCCCTTCCATTATTATTTTTCCCAGTGGTATTAAAATGGAATTAAAACTTCAATTTTAAGCAAACAAATACGTTGTATATGAGCAAACTTAAGTTGACAACCATGATAGTAACGCAAATTAATATATGTGCTTAACTTTTGTAAGAATAGTGGTGATCAAAATAATTTAAAAATTAAGTTTTTAAAAGAAAAAATAGTATATATTTACTACCACTTTAAATATGAAAACAAAATCTTCCGGAAAATCCGGAAGAGTTGGCAGGTATGCTGATGTCAGAAGGACCATTTAGGCCTCAGTACCCAGTTCAGTTCTACGACAACGAATGATTACTTATGTCATGCTATACCTTTTAAAAAGCAAGTAAAAATAGTTAAATATTTGCAAAATTTACTTCATAGTTATTAACCGTTTTTTTTTTTTTAATTACTTTTGCACGTCCGGAACAATTGGCATCTCTGAACATAGCCTTATTCCACGGAACAAAAGCGCATTATATCAAAATTGCGCATCAAAAGAAAAGAGAATGTTCTAAAGTGTGGTTTTTTTACTTAAAAAAGTGATTTTTTTTTTTGCCCGTTTTTTTTCTCAAGAAATCTGTGCGTTAAGGGGTTAATGTTTTAATCTGAAA